TCAATACGGCAAGGTCTCAGTTTGAGATTTTCCCGTAACGACCTCACTCTCGGTTATTAAGTAGTTAATAATTTTCCATCATTTCAGTTCTCTAAAAATTTTATTAGTTCTACACTTTTTACAGTTGACTTCAACATGAAACAGAAAGTGAGATTAAAACCCATCATTATGACAGGTTTTCCTCTCTCACTTGCTCCAACTGCTACAATGGCTTTTTCATTTCAGTAGAATAAACAAGCCAGATAATTTCTGACATCAGGAAAGTAATAAACTGTACATGTATCATGGATTACATTACTTGTAAAAAATTTTGGACAATTTTAACTTCACACAAGAAAGTGTCCCAAAATAAAACTGTCCACAATTTTTTTGCTTCTGAAATTTTAACCGTCCAAAATAATTACAGTACAGTAAAAAACTTTGAAGTGACTCGATCCAAAGCTCTTGGTTTCCTTTATGCTGGGCTTAATGGAGCGAACTCTAGTTGAGACACTGCTTGACATATGTAATGGCTTGAAAGAATTTGTGTTATTTTCTTGTCAGCGTATTCATAAAACCTTGAGGCTGCAGTGAAACTATCATTTTCACTGATAATTTGTGTTCTGTAGGCATAAATTTACATTTAATTAGCAGAGTGTCTGAAATTTGAATGAGATAGAAAGTGTCCGAAAATTAAACATCCAAAATAAAATGTCAGAAATTTCAATGTCCAAAATTTTTAGCAAGTACTGTATTTGTTTGATGAAAACTTAAAACATTTCCATACCTGGGCAACTGATAATACTGAATTCTTCCTTGCAAACTTCATAGTGTAGTACTTTCGATAATGGAAACTGGAATGAAATAAAAAGAAATTAAACATTAAAAAAATACAATTCAACTTAATTAGCACAAGTGGCTCTTGTACAGTCTAATGCTAGTGCAAACAACTAGTGTGCTGGAAAGCATTTCCCATCATCCATCACAGCATGCAATATATTAAATGCATCCTGGTCAAAACTGGATGTTCAAATACATGTACTACTGACAAAGTTTCACTCACTGTAAATTTATATTATTCATAATTTAAAGGAAATGTGAAATTTTGTTTCTCACAAGCAAACCTCTGTTGGTCTTTCTGTTTAGTTTCCTTAAAGCTTACATATATTAAAACTTTGACTGGGTTATTTGAAAGAGCTTTATGTACGTTCCGAGATTCTTGTATGAAAACTTCTTTTAATTTAAATTGTCAGCTGCCATGCCATTCGGGAGTGAAGGGCTTCTAAGTCAGTTGTTTATTAGTTCAAATGCCAGTTCAAACATTTTAACTTGACATGAAGGAAGGCACCGTGTCTGCAGTCTACCATGAAAAAGTACATCTTCTTCTACAGTGTAACTATAAACAGCTGCGGCTAAATTTTAGTACAATTAATGAGTTGTCTTGTTATTTATGGATACGGAATTTCCGAGGGGTAGGGGGGGCCCAAGTAGAAAAATCATGGAAATTCCAGGTGGTGGAGGCAGTACCGTGAAGCCCCCCTGGAATGGAAAATCCTGGGGGGGTGGGGGGTCAGACTGGAAAAAAACCCTCCATGGGGGGGTATGGATATTTTCTGGAACCACACAATTTAACACAGAAATGTATAAATAATAGCCTCCATTTGGCCCAAAAATATGCTTCGATATTTGTCCAAGGACATTATCTGTTTTGAGAAGCAAACAGTTTTCCAAGAGCACAGCTCGAGGAAAACTGTTAGTTTCAGGGAACAGATAATGTCCAAGGGCAATTGTGTTTATTATCCTTCAAGTATATGAAAATTGCGGAATATCACCCTGATATTCCCAAGTTTTAGCTGGGGAATATTCAGTCACATGATGTGTTTAGACCAATCGCCCACAAGCAAAAACATTTGATGGATTATATATAAATACTAGCCTTCATTTGACACGAATATATTCTTGGATATTTGTCCACAGACACTATCTGTTCAGAGAAGCAACCAGTTTTTCAAGAGAGTGGTTGAAGGAAAACTGTGAGCTTTGAGTAACAGATAATATCCAAGGACAAAATATCGTGCCAAATGAAGTCTATTGTGTTTATTATCCTTCAAATATTTTTCGTAATATGGACAATTTTGAGTTATAGCTGGGGCATATTCAGTCACGTGACGTGTTCAGACCAATCGCGCGCCAGCAAAAATATTTGATGGATATAATGCTGAATGTATCTCCAAACTTCACCGAAAGTTTGCAATTTTTTCGTTTAGAGTTAAGCGAAATTAAAACAATAAAATTTATAAAATGTCTCACAGCATGGTTTCATATCAGGAAGACTTTTTAAAGACTCCTATTGAAGATAAGATTAAGTTTATCTTGATAGTTTTTATGGATTTCTACAACATAGTCCCTTACCGCGCAATTTAGCAGTTCGCTTCAGTGTGAATCCACCTGGCAGAAACTTGCAGCAAAAGTTGTGAAGACTGAACTGAATCAATCTTTTCGATAGGTCAACGAATCAACCACTTTTTCCGCTGTGTTTACCGCTCTGTAGTTTCTCACACGTTCCCGTTCGAAACATGACGACCTCGATCCCAGGCTCTCCCAGCTCTGTCTCCTTTGTCTCCCTTTGAAGAGAGCCTGAGATCGAGGTTGGAATTTTGTTTTTCTTGTTGATCACTTGAGAAGGTTCTGCTGTCTTAGAGCTCTGCTTCACGGCATAGTTCGATATTATTTCGTCTACTTTCTCTAGCCTTGGCCTGCTTTCTGAGGGGGGTAAATAGGGGTATGCAAATCCGCCGATCTGTGCCTTTTTTTCGCCAAATCCGTCGATTCGCCGATATTTTAGTTCAAATCCGAAACCACAACCACATCCGGAAACAAGTGTAAAAGTTCAAAGGCAAACTGGTAAATGTGAATGCCATTGTTAATTTCGCATAAATAGTAAAGAAGGCAACATGCTTGATGACTATAACACAGTACAATTCTAATAACAGTCTCACACCTGAGTTTAAATGAGCTTTGTCCGAAAAAAGAAATAATTTGGATGAACTCATTCNAGGGTATCATTTTTCACGAAACTGACCAGTTGGTTGAAGAGTTTATCTAGACTATGAAAACCAGGAATTGACACTCAAAAATATAAAAAAATCAAATCGGTAAGTTAAATTTACGCAAATAAGCCTCCACAGTGTCGATAGATGGGGGGATTTGGGGAGTTAACTCAAGTATAGGGTAGCAAAATTCAGCTAAACTAGCTCTGGTTTAGGCTAAGGGTTTCAGGGTCTCTGCTTCACGGCGTAGTTCGATATTATTTCGTCTACTTTCTCTAGCCCTGGCCTGCTTTCTGAGGGGAGTAAATAGGGGTATGCAAATCCGCCGATCTGTGCCTTTTTTTCGCCAAATCCGTCGATCGGCCGATGTTTTAGTTCAAATCCGAAACCACAACCACGTCCGGAAACAAGTGTAAAAGTTCAAAGGTAAACTCGTAAATGTGAATGCCACTGTTAATTTCGCATAAATAGTAAAGAAGGCAACAAGCTTGATGACTATAATACAGTGCAATTCTAATAACAGTCTCACACCTGAGTTTAAATGAGCTTTGTCCGAAAAAAGAAATAATTTGGATGAACTCATTCACATACCGACCAAGGCTGAAGAAAGATTTATGATCCAAATTTCGTTTAGGACCCAAGATTCGAAATCAAG